GAGTGCAGCCAGGATACCGAGCCTGTTCTATGAGCCGGTAGAAGCCTCACGGCCCCGCCTTCCTTCGCAGCCTCGGATGTGAAGCGGGGCTTTTGCTGTGGCTCTGCAGAGCTTCTCGTTTGCTTAGAGCCCCGTGTCCTGTTTCAGGTTGAAAGGGGAAGACCCCTCTGAACTGGTGACCACCGTGGACAAGGTGGTCTGCCTGGAATCCGCCCGCCCCCGCATGGGCGTTGGCTGCCGCCTGAGCCGGGCCCTGCTCACAGCGGTCACCAACGTGCTCATCTTCTTCTGGTGTAAGTCCTCGGCGCCCACCCCTTCCCTCCCCTGCAGCCTGATGCCTGCACGCAACACCTCCTGAGCCCCACTCTGCGCACCTCTAGGCCTGAGCCAAGAGCTATAGAAATTCTAGGCCCAGAGACTTCATTTCTTTCTGGTGAACCCGAGGTCTGTAATAAAACAGAGGGGTGAGCAGGGCAGCCTCTGCTGTGATTGTCTTTCCCTTCAGAGATTGGCGGCAGGAGCGTGAGAGTCACTAGTAAGTGTCCTTGAGTTGGGGCAAGGGACTGTCAGCTTCCCTGGGAGGGAACCTGGCCTGGACAGGAGCTGGCATTGTCCCTCCTGGCAGCTCTGCCAGGACCCCAGCATGCAGACCAGCTCCAGGCAGGAGGCACAGCGGGAGCCTGGCCTCATTTCACTCCCCGAAAAATGTAAACATCTCCTGGAGAGCTCCAGATCTCTGATGAAGCCGGGAGGACTCAGGGTGCAGAGGAGGAGAGGAGAGCACAGGTCTTATCTCCTGGCACCAGGGCTGCCTTTGAGAAGAGACCTCAGGGTGTCTCTGAAGGCAAAAGGCCGAGTCGCAGAAACCGCCAGCTCTCCAGAGATAGCCGGAGCTGCAAATCACAGGCCATCACGGCGTGCACACAGCTCCCTCCCATGCACCGCCAGGCCAGAAATCATTATCGGCGGCAGCATCTCGGAATACAAAGGGCCCCGGCATGTATATATGTATGAAACGCCGCGTTCTGGTTCGCGAGGGAGGAGATGAAAGCCCGGGAATGAGGTTGGGAGGAGCCGAGCGCCGGATGGCTGGGGATGCCTCTGTGGCGACAGCAGGCAGAAGGAAGACGATCGCTTAATAGCCTGGCCTCCCTTTGTGTTTCTGCATGCTGGCTGGTGCCTGACGCATAGTAGGTGCTCAGAAGGCCTTTGGTGGCTCACCACGGCCTCCGGCACCGCGTCTGGCCCACAGCGACACCCTCCGAGTATCTGAATGGACGGAGGAGAGGCGGGGGTTAACGGTCTCGTTCCCTTGTAGGCTTGGCATTTCTGTGGGGGCTTCTGATCCTCCTGAAGTACCGATGGCGCAAGTTAGAAGAGGAGGAGCAGGCCATGTACGAGATGGTGAAGAAGATTATAGGTATGTGGCCCCTCGCAGAAGGGCTGCCCGGCACTGGCCCGCAGGTCCCTGCCCTAAGCAGTGTGCTGTCCCTGCAGACGTGGTCCAGGACCATTACGTGGACTGGGAGCAGGACATGGAGCGCTACCCCTACGTGGGCATCCTGCATGTGCGCGACACCCTGATCCCTCCACAGAGCCGGTGAGTCCTCCCTGGCAGGGTGCAAGGATGGAGGGAGGCCGGTCCTGACTGCACGAGGTCCACAGAAGGAAGCCGCATGCCACACCTGCCTTCTGCCTCCCCAGCAGAAGGGTTTGGCTGGGGAGGGCAGAGTGAGCTAGACCAGGTGGGCCCACCATTCCTCTGTAGAGATGTCACTGTGTGTGTGCTTTTTGTTCTTAGGTTTATTTTTATTTATTTTTTTTCACGAGATAAAGGAAGTCACAGCTACCCCGAAGGGTCTCACATGCCACGATCCTCTTCCCCCAGCCCTCTAGCTCGCCGGGTCTTGGGTACACACATGCTTGCCATGTTTCAGGTTGACTCGGGTTCTGAGCCCGGGTCAGCCATGTGGCTTCCAGCACTGCAGTTCAGTATGCTACTCCCAGTGCTTCTGAGGCTGGGCCTGTGAGTTGATATGGTGTGGGATGCTTTGGGCTGCAAGTAATAAGAACCCTTTCCCCCAGTGGCTCGGCAGTGAAGGATCTGAGGGGTTTCCGGGGTGGACGTCCAGAGTGGTGTGTGCTCGGGGCACGGAACAGCCAGGTGCCTGCTTCCGTTCCTCTGTGATGCTTGTGGCCCTGCTCCCCAGGGGATGTCCTTGGCGGCCAGGTCCCTCGTGGTTGCAGGGTGGAGGCCAGCAGCAGCTGCAGCCTCGTCTGCTGTTACGCCAGCAGGGGAGAAGTAGGCTTCCTATGCTCTTAGGAGCCAGAGAGAACCTTCCCAGTTCCCTCCAGTGACACGCCTTGGGGCCCCATGGGCCAGAATTGGCTACTTGTCTATTCGTGAATTAGTGGCACGAAGGAGACTGCTCATCGAGCCTTTCTTAAACGTTTCATGAGACAGAGACATGGCCCTCCGCAGAGTCTCACACTGCAGTCCTCACCCAGGCTCTTCCCAGCCAGCCCGGACGTGGCACGTTCACGTGTCTGACGTGCACAGGTCAGCCTGGCACCCGAGCCCTGTCCTTCCTGTGGGCCTCAGCACTGAGGGCACTGTCCCACCGTGGCAGGCCTGTTGGTCACACTTAAACCATGGCCCACAGTAAGGTACACATAGTACTCACAATAGCATGGTCCAGTTACACACGTACATACGTATACACACATACACACGCACGCACGTACACGCACACATGCATGGAATCCAGAACATAGCTTCACAGCAGAGATTGAGGTCAGCTCCCAGGGCCCACGGCTGCACATGCAGGGTGGCTGAGCACCGTGGCCCTGACAAAGCTGGGGTGGGGCTGGCAGAGTCCCAGAGGCAGCCCCCACGTGGGCTCAGACGCGTGTGCCCTCCGCGCCGACTGCTGGGCCTCTGGCCAGATGCTGTCACCTGCCGGGTGCCACCGCGAGCTCACAGGTGCTGAGCATCTGCTCAGAGCTCCCCGCAGGCCCAGAGGCCTGGTCCTGACCATGACCCACGGAGGCGAGAACAGTGCGAGCCCCCACTTTATGGTGAGGAAACGGAGGCAGCGGGAAGCTGGGCCGCTTGACCCCTGGTAGGGCGGAACTTAGAGCAGATTGACAGCAGCAGGGGCGCTGGCCCCCAACGGGAGGCCACACAGCCCTCTAGCTCCCAGGGGAGGCTACCTGGGGTACTCAGAGCCCGACGTGCTTCCTAGCCCTGACAGGAGTCACCGAGTGCATGTGGGCAGCTCTTTCAACCTCTCTGAGCTGCAGTTTCCCCCTGAGAAAATGGAAGTGAGTCATTGCCTCCCTGAGGCTGTGGTGCAGAGAGGCGCTCGCTCGCTCGCTCGGCGGGTGTTGACTGAGCACCTGCTATGTGCCAGGCACTACGCTGGGTCACGGGAAACAGGGAGCGGAAGTCCAAACCCCCGCCTTAGTGCATTCATCCTGGGGCGAGAGACAGGTCACGTGTGAGGGAAGTGTGGCATTAGGTTGTGACAAGAGGACGCAGGTGTCAGGAAGGTGGCCTTCAAGCTAGCGCATGCTCGTCCAAGGGGATCCGTCAGTGCTTGGGCCTAACTGACGTGACCTCCAGCATCCATAACGACTTCAGTAAGAATCTAAGGCGGGTGGGCGGACAGTGGTACAACGACAGGACAGGGGGACCATCTACGTAGGCAGGCCCAGGGCTCTCCGGCACACACATAGCCATGACCCTGGGCTGACTGACGGGGCTGCAGCATGGAGACCTTGTTGGGGTGCACTCTCTGTTTCACACACAGAGAAAAATATAATTTGCAGGAGAACGCGAGCTGGCACCAGCGGGCTGGGCAGAGCGCCCTCCTGAGCTCCCATTGCGGCAGCGTAGGTGTCGAGCACTGCCCCGGTCAGGACAGCTGCCTGCAGGGTCTGCACTGCTGCTGTGGGCCCAGGGGGCTCACGCCCTGCGGCCTGGCAGCCTCTCCAGAGACTCCTCTCCCCGCCACGCAGGCAGTCCAGGCCGAGCTCTGGACACGGAAGGCTATGTTGGCTAGACAGTCAGCTCTGCCCTGTAGGCCGGGGCAGGGGGAGGGCTGAGCGCTCGTGTGGTGAGAACCAGGCGCCAACAGGCACCTGGCTGAGTCTGACTGAGGGCAGGTGTGTTCACTACCAGCTTACGGCAGGCAGCCTGGGAAGGAGGAGCACAGCGGAGGACCATCCCTTCAGTGCCGCCTCTCCCCCTCAGGGACCCTGAGGAAAGGGCGGGTGTCCCCGTCCTCCTCCGAGCTCAGTCTCCAGGGAGTAAGTGGCCTTGTCCTTGGCCAGACCAGCCAGGTCAGGGCTGCTGAACAGGCTCTGGGGTTTGGTTGGTTGGACCTGAGCCCAGGGAAGGAAACCACCCGACTCGTCTTCCCTGGGTGACCCTCTGCCCCCCACGTACATGAGGTGGTCCCTGGGACACCGGCGCGTCAAGGGCGAATGTCACAGCTGCTTCCCAGTAGCCCTGGAACCTTCCTGTCTAGTCTGCAGGGGACGAGGGCTGTCCAAGGGTGTGCGAGGCCACAGGGACTTGGTGCAAAGCGCCAGGGCAGGGACTCTGGCCCTGGGAGGGACCTCTCTGGCGGCTCTGGCTCCCGCAGGCAGGTGCCCAGCTCCTCGGCCTGCCCGGGCAGAAGTGCTCTGGAGTCTGCACACCACTCCAATTAGCCCACGCAGGCACTACGATGCAGCCACAGGGCCAGCCCGGCCGCCCCTTCCCTGGAGCCCTGGGGGTGCTCCAGACGCCTCTGGCTCCTTCCGCCCTTGGTGGGAATGCTTTCAGAGCAGAGGACTTGAGCAGTCTGTCTCCGTTACCTGAGGCGTGTCCTCCCCTAGTTTGAGACCAGCGGGTGCAGGAGGTCGCAGCAGGGCTGCCTGGGCGTGCTGGCCTGCCCAACCCATTCTCACCGCAGGAGGCGCATGAAGCGGGTCTGGGACCGAGCCGTGGAGTTCCTGGCCTCCAACGAGTCCCGGATCCAGACGGAGTCCCACCGCGTGGCCGGGGAAGACATGCTGGTGTGGAGATGGACTAAGCCCTCCTCCTTCTCCGATTCGGAGCGGTAATCACTGCAGGGGCCTGTTCCCAGTCCGCCTGCCCGGGCCACTCCGGGCGCCAGGAGGTCGCCAGACCTGCGGTGCTGAGTCCACACTTGCCTCCTCTCGCCTGCTGACTCCGCTCCAGAAGGCTCTCAGGCTCCTGGGGGAGCTCGGCGCATTAGGAAATTACCAGAGGGAGCAGCCAGAGTGAGGGCCGATCTTCTATGCCTCGATTTGCTGGAAGCAAAGGGGAGAAGGATTTGTTTCTCATGAATAGAAAAGACAAAGAGCAGCAGCGAGACCCTGCAGAGCAAGCGTGAGGTTGGGCCCGCTGGAGACTCCGTGCGGGCAGTCCAAGGCCGGCGGCCAGGAGGTGGGCACCGCGCCGTGCAGGCGTCAGGGCTGGCGGTTGGGGCAGCAGGGGTAGGGGAGCAGCTTGGTCCATGTGCCTTCAGGGGGTGTTGCGGGAGCTCAAGGGTGAGGGGGGGAAAGCCTGCCCTCCGCTGGCTGGGCCTCTTACCCGGAAGAGGGGAGATGCTAGAAATTAGAACCTCAGTGGCCGTAGGGGACTGTCTAGAAACTCCCTGCGCTTGCGGGAGCGAGCTCTGGCATGGTGTCCTGGGAGGAGCCCGGAGAAGGACCGTGCTGAAAGCAGAGAGGAGCCGAGGCCGCCCGCCGCCACCTCCCGCTGTGCCGTCAGTGGTGCTCTCCCGGACGCCCCGCCTTCCCCCCCCC